CGTTCGCACACGCAAGATAATGGACTCTTATCAGCAGCAAGTCATTGATAGAAAATTAAAAAGGAAAGAATCGGGTGACTACGCGTTATTTATTCGGGAGAAAAAAACAGGAACGACAGGAAAAGGAGGAACAGAGGATGGATATTCTGGAATGTGAGAAAAAATTTTAATTTTTTCAAACACGTACGAAATAAATTAATTCACGATGAAAAAAAAAAAAGTGCGTGTCGTTTTACACGCACTCACGCACGCACGCACGCAAGCTTGACTTGGCACGTCCGACGTCTGACGACCGCGCATATGGTGCCGTCTTGCGAAACTTGTCGTGAGCTTTTCCCATTCATTCAAACAAGATTGATTTGTCCTTTTTCTTCTTCTTCTTCTCCTTCGTGTCGTGTCGTAGACGACGACGACGACGACGACGACGACGACGTCTGACATGATTCGGTCAATGAGATGATAATATAGAGGACAACATAATCCGATAGGTGAATGAATAAATTTTTAAACCTGGAAACGAACGTTCATTTTATTATTATTATTATTATTACAACTATCGATCGATCGGTTATAAGTTTTGGCATCGTTTTTTATACGTAAAAGTAAGTGGTGATGATGATGATGATGATGATGATAAGTGAATGTTATTATTTTCGCGTATGTTGTTGATTTTTTTTTTTTTTTTTTTTTTTACTACTGCGTAAAAAAAAAATAATAATAATAATGATTGATTGATTGATTGATTTTTTTTTTAAATGCTTAAAATTTATTCGACGCATTTAATAATTATTCGCGTGCGTCAGTTTCCGGTTTTTGTAAATAATTTTTTTTTTTTTTTTGTATAAATGAGACGAAATATTTTATTTATAGAAAAATTATTACTAATGCGTCAATTATTATTATTATTATTATTATTATTATTATTATTATTGTAAACGTGCGTATTTTTGCGACGGTGCGTAAGAAAATAAGTAAATAATCGTCGGTTGGTGTTTATTAATTTATTATTATTATTATTATTATTATGGTCACTCTTAAACACGACAAGGCTCTTATTTGTCGGGGTTGTTAAGTATTTATCCCAGGTCTCTACCCGATTCCTTAGGGTTATTATTATTATTATTATTATTATTATTATTAATATTATGTTTGATTGATTGATACGTAAATGGAAATGCGTGATTCGTTCTTAAAGAAAAGGGAAGATGGGGGTTGGTGGTGGTTGATGGTGGTGGTGGCGAGGAAGTAAAATTTTTTTTTTTTTTGCATCCGATTAAAATGTTTGTCTCGTTTTAAACTCGCCGTCCCTGAACTTTTTCATTTTTTTAATTTAAAATAAAAAAATTTCCCGATGAATTTTCTTCACCTGTCGGTTCGCAGACAATCGTGACTTACATAAATTTTACAAAAAAAAAAAAAAAAAAAAAAAAAAAAAAAAAAAAAAAGGGAGAGTGAACACCACCGCCGCCTTCGAATGTTTTTTATAAACGTTTTATGTCATCATCATCATCATCATCTCCACCGCCACCTGTGAATTTCTCCGATTTGTTGTTGTTGTTGTTGTTGATGTTGCTATCACTTTCCGTTTTCTTCTTCTTTTTCTTCCGAATCAAACCGGATCGTTTGTAATGTGAAAAATGCATTGATTTGATTCGAGGAGGAAAAACGAGACGAAAATATAAGGTCGCGTATAGCGCGTTAAATTATTTTTAAAACACGTTGTTTGTTGTTGTTGTTTGTTTTTGTTTATAAACGTAAAAGCTTCGTAGTTTTTAATAGGAGAGTTTGGACTGAAAACAATTTTGACGGTTTTATTGCCAAAAATTTATTTTATTTTATTTTCTTTCAAGAAAAACAATTGCATTTTTTTTTTTTTTTTAAAAATATTTTACGTTTTTGCGTGAGTGCGTGCGTGTGTATGTTTACAACGATTTGTTTGGCAATCGCCAAAATCCTTTCGCTCCCTTTTACATTTAAAGGTAAATAAAATAATAATAATAATAATAATAAACAAAGACAAATAAAAGTAGGCGATTCTGTCGTCGTCTTTGCGGCGCCTCGTTTTGCATTTAGATACAATTTCTAATTGTTTGTCCTTTTCTCTCTCTCTCTCTCTCTCTGTCTGCCTTTCTCCTCCTGTCTGTCGTCTGGGGTTCCGATTATGTCAATGTCAGTCAAGGTGTAAAAAAATAGAAATTGTTTTTATTTATTACGTTCGTTCGAACGTCGGGGAGGGGATGGGGAGTCACCTTTATTGGTGTCGAATAAAATGAAACATTTGTCTCCCTCTCCTCCCCAAAAAAAAAAAAAAATAGGTGATGATTGAATGTGCGCATGCTGATGATACTACCAAAAAGAAAAAATTGTCAATGTCATTTTTTTTTTGTTTGTTTTTGTTTTTCAGGCACATGAAGCCTAATGGAAAATGCTGTTACCTCAAAAGGTATTATTTCTATGTCATTTGGCGTCGATGCTTTTTGGATTCGGATCCGGAAAATGTTTGACTCATTTACCTGGTAGGTGTTTGTTTCTTTAATGTTTTTTTAAATCTATTGTCTCGTCGTCATCATCATCATTTTGTGATTTTTCCCGCATCCCACCCACCCCCCCATCAAAAATTTTTTTAAATTGATTAATCAATCGTAATTTACCTTTTTTGAAAACGACGAGATCACCCCATTCCCCATTTAAAAAAAAAAAAAAAAAAAAATTTTTTTGCAAAATAATTGATTGATTATCGAAATCTATTAATAATCCCTAATCGAATGACAATGAATTAACGAATGTATGATTGAATGATTGAATGAATTAACGAAAGAACGAACGAATCGTTCGATTTATTGATTGATTGATTAATTTAAATTGTTGTCCGTTTATATGCGGAGAGTTCGAACGTCAGGCACACCGTCGGTCGTGAAATAATTTCATCATCATTATTATTATTATTATTATCATCGCATTATGTTTTATCGCAATTCGAAGACCTTTTCCCCCCTCTCGAAATGCGTAAATGCGTAAACCCCCTTTCGTAGTACACACGTTTTCAAACGTTTTTTTAAAATAATTTTTGTATTTCTCGCCTCCGCCCCCCTTTCCTCATCATCATCGGACAAAGATTTTCCTCTGAGATGATGACGTATGAAAAATAATAAAAGAAAAATTTTAAAAATATCCGTGATAGTAGTAGCAACCACGTTTTATTCACGCGTGCGTGCGTGCGCGCGTATATATTTATCGCGTAAGCGTGGGTGTGTAAAATGGTCAGTCAATATAACGGTTATAAATAATAACATGCGGGAATGAAAGAAAATTCCAGAAAATTTTTTGGCGGGAAAATTTTTATTTAATTGTTTTTTTATGAGGTCCCTTCGAGAACCGCCGTTTTTTTTTTTTTTTTTTTTTACTTTTAACGGATTTGATTTAAAAATTTAATGACATTTTTTTTTCCTTTCTACGTCATCGTCGTCGTCGACGTCATCATCGTCGTCGAAAATTCCAATATTTAGCCCGTTCAATGCCAAGTATATTATTTGCGACAATAAAAAAAAAAAAAAAAATTTGTTTTAGGATTATTTGCCCACGCGAGCGTAGGTTATTGATATCGGAAAACAATTTTTTTTTTTTTTTTTAGTAAATATTTAAAAATGTCTGTCTGTCTGCCTGTTTGTTTGTTTGTTTGTTTGTTGTATCGATGATAAGCGTTGCAATTCCGCGTCCGTGCGTTTTTTTTTTTTTTTCCCTCCACTTATTTATTTAATTATTTACCTTGTGTTTTGTTTTGTTTTTCAGAAGTGAATCCGAAATGGTTTTACACGGTCGATGGTAAAAGATGCAGCATCATCATCGAGTCATCGGAAAGAATCGCTCATAATATAACGTCCAACATATTTAAAATATTTCTAGACGAAGTTATCGGTTACGATTCCGTGGAAATCGTTCAAAGGAAAGATTATTTTAATTCGACGTTGGCCCTCAGCCGATTACAAGACAAGAGGGCCTACTATCATTCGTACTACAACGATACCCTAAGGTGAGTGACTGTGAATAATAAAAGTCTGATACGTTAAATACTTTTCGAGTGTTTATTGAAGTGTTTTAGGCTCGCCATCTCTACCTAATGAGTCACATTGTTTGTTTGTTTGTTTGTTTGTTTTGTCATTTAAAACTCTTCGTTTGTTTTACTTCTCTCTCTCTCTCTCTGGTTTCGTCGGAAACGAAAATTATTCTTGAAAAATTTGTAGTTTAATTATAGTAGTAGTAGTAGTAGTCGCGAAAACGATCAAAATAAATAAATATGGTTGTAATTGCGTCGTCTGTTGCATCACGTGACCCAGCACACGAATGATAATAATAATAATGAATCGCAAAATCGCGTTTCCAGATATTTCCTTTTTTTTTTGCCACGGTACGGGTCGATTGAAGGGTGTGTGTGCGTGCGTGTGTGATTTCGTTTGTTCTACTTTTCCATATGATTTTCTCGGAATCGTTAGCACACCTTTTTTATTTTTATCGGAAAATGTTAATTTCCAGGAAATCGGTTTCGACTGGAGAAATCAAAATAAAACTTCCGAGAAATTTTTAATAATAATAATAATAATAAAAAGTGGAATAAAATAATTTGCTTGATAGGCACATACGTCGTCGTCTGTGACCGCGACCGAACGGGATTTCGTCATTCGCGATATGCACATCATCATCATCACGTCAGTTGGCAATGCAGGTGAATCCGATAGATATATTTATATATATGTACGTATTTTGATAACTGATGATGATGATGATAATAATAATAATAATGAGTCAGTTTTATATTTTGGATCGAACGTAAAAAGGAGCCGTTCTTAAATGGGAGAGGGAGAGAGAGAGAAAGCATAAATGCATAAACGCTTGACGGTGGGAGGGAAGGGGAGGGGAGAAATTATTCTCTACGTAATTATAAGTATAAATAAAAAAAAATGGTGTCCATTATATATTTAACAAAATTTGTTTTGCACTGTAAATTTGATTATTATTATTAGTAGTAGTAGTAGGGTTTTCGAATTTAGCGCCTCGCGGATAATTTTCCACTTTCGTTTGTCTCCTTGTTGCCGACAAAATGGCTGCCACAAAATTCTGGGAAAAAATTTTCTGTTAAGGTAGATGTCCGCGTCGAAACAACAAAGTTTTGTAAAAAAAAAAAAAAAAAAAAAAAAAAAGTAAAACGATGAGATTTCGAAAACCGGAAATTGAAAGAAAAAAATGTATATATTTTAAAATGGGGGAGAGTATTTTATTTATACAATTAAACGTGATGAGAGTGAGAGAGAGAGAGAGAACGTGTGGGGGGGGGGGAAATATCGTTGAAAATTTCATAGAGTCGGAAAAGGTTAAAAAAAAAAGAAGAAAAAGGAAAAAGGAGTGAAAGAAAGATAGAGATTTAGAGAGAGAGTGTGAGAGTATGAGAGAGAAAAAGAGAGAGAGGGGAGAGGGGAGGGGAAATTCGTTACCGGCTTTCTTTAAGATCGGGCCTACTCTCGATCAGGCACGTAGATCACAAAAATCATTACGAAACGCATACAACGACTATGGATAACAATAAAAAGCAGACTAAAAAATTTTTTTAAAAAACTTATTATTATTATTATTATTATTTTTACGCGCATATTGCAATTATTGCGAATAATCATAGAGAATGAAAATTATTTCCTTCGTTCGTGCGTGCATCACACGTGTATTACACGTTTCGAATTCTCATTAATCGAATATATCCGAATAGAAAAAAAAAAGAAAAGATTTTATGGTTGTTATCATCTTCATCGTCGTAGCCGTCGCCACCATCGCCATTGCCACCGCCACCGCCATCGTCGTTCGTGCCACACACACACAATTATTCACGTAACAATTTTTTTTATGAAAGATTGATTAACCGAAGAACAAATAAAAGTACGGTGAGATTTATGATTCGTAATCGGAGTCGAAACCTCACAAAGGACCACAAAATCAATTATTTATTATCATTATTATTATCATTTTTAAATTTAAACTCGATGATTTTGTAATAATAAAAAAAATTATTTTCTCTCATAACCCGAATGAGCCAGGTAGAGAGAGAGAGAGAGAGAGAGGGGGAGGGAGGGAGGGAGAGTTGATTGACCACGTTTTGCGAATACCCTAATTTAGGTTTTTTAAATCTAAAGAGAACAAAAGAGAGAGAGAGAGACGATCACGACGTCATCATTTATTCTTAATAAAAAATAGCAATGATAATAATAATAATAATAATGAATGGAATCGGTGGTAGAAAATATAGATTTTTATTTTGTCTATTTCCACGTTTCCGCCCCCCCCCCCGTAATCGCACGTAACCGAAGCAGCAGTGATGGCGTACATTATCGGTGTTGAATAACTTGAGAAGGCGTGTGAATTATTACTTTCGATTAATAATAATAATAATAATTTTTGTTTCTCTCCCCTCCTCCCCCCCCCCAATAAAATTTTGTAATTGAGTTCGGAGTTCTAGTCATCAAAAAAAAAAAAAAAAAAAAACCAGAAGAAATCAAAGTTCAAAGTTCAAAAAGGAAATTTTTTAACGAATTTTAGCCGTTTTGTAAAAAAAAAAAAAAGTTAAAAGGTCGATTTTCGTTACGTTCACGGAATTTAAGGGGGAAGGGGGAAGAGAGAGAGAGAGAGAGAGAGAAACAGTTAAAGTGAGTGAGAGAGAGAGAGAAAGAGAAGAGAAATAAATTTTTTTTGTTTTTTTTTCCAGATGTCCGGTAGCCGCCATAAATTTGGAAATATGGATAACGACGTACGAAAGTTTAAAAGAAGAAATTTACCAGAAGAAAAAATTACCGCCGCAATTGGGATCGGTGGCGCCACCCGGAAGGTAAGAAGAAAAATGATAATAATAATAATTTTTTTTTTTTTGTTTCGGTTTCCGGTGAATATCAAAAAATAATAATAATAATAATTTTATATTCGCACGGATTTATTAGCGCATTTATGAATAATAATTCGTGATTTAAATTCGCGATGTATATTCAAATGAGATTCGTACGACACGTCAATCACAAATCCGGAGGGGGAGGGGGAAAACTCGTAGAAAAATCCTTTATTATTATTATTATTATTATTTTCCCGGGGAAAGGGAAGGGGGGGAGGCTGTCGTGAAGATTTTGAAATTAAACCCCACGTATGACGGGATATAATAACCGTTAGAAAAAAATACGATAGGGGTGAGTGGTTGTCGTGAACCTGTGGTAATCGTGGAAGTAAAAACTTTCTGATGCGTTTCCGTTTCCCGTGACGTCATTCACTTGTTTCCATTGAAAAAATTATCACTGGAGTTTTTTTTTTTTTTTTTCCTTTTTACATCGGTGTCGTGTCGTCGCGGTTCGTAACAAAAAATATTTCCAGTTCGTTTTTTTTCGTTGTTTATAAAAAAAAAAAAAAGCTCCCCCCACCTCCCCCGACATATACGACTCGTAGATTTTTTTTCCATTTAATAATAATAATAATAATAATGCTTTCGAAAGTCACGTAAAAGTCATAAATTGCGTTAAAAAAATGATAGACCGAGAAGGGGAGAAAATAGGGAGGAGAGATGGGGGGGGGTGAAGGGAGGAGTTAGGGGGATTTTCGTTGAAGATTTCGCAAGATTTTCTTTTCTTTTTTTTTTTTTTTTTTTTTTTTGTTTTTCGCATCATATATCTCATCATTATAATTTTAACCCTACGAAATCTTTTTCAAAATGTCGTCTTCGTCACGAAGGGAGTGCGTGCCAAATTATACAAAAACGTTTTTTTTTTTTTTTTTGTATTTTTTAAAAAATAAAAATAATTTTACAAAAAAAAAAAAAAAAAACGCAGAAAACAAACGACGTTAAATTTACTATTATTATTATTATTATTATTATTATTTCTTATCATTTATTATTATTATTATTTAATGATTGTTTTTGTTTGAGAGATGAGATGAGAGTTAAAAAAAAAAAAAAACAACAACAATACCTGGCGTTTATTAAATGGCGATGGCGTCGTTGGCGCCGACGACGACGATGACGATATAATTGCAATGATGCGTTAACAATTACTAAAAAAACCACATTAAATTGTTTATCTTTTTTTTTTTTTTTTTTGTTGAATTTAACACTAATTTAAAAAAAAAAAAAAAAGGCGGGAATTATAAAAAACGGAAACGGAAAGAGGAGTAGTTGAAACGTTCGTTCCTAGTTTCAAAAATTCTTTCTCGAGAAGTGATGGAGGGAAAAATTTTTTTTTTTTTTTTTTTTTTTTTAATCAGGTTGAAGATGGATTAGATTACGTAATCATCATCGTACGCACACGCATACGCACGCACACTCGCGTGTTAAATTTAAATGGCGTACACACATTAAAAAACAAAACAAAACAATTATTATCATTATCGTTACGAGTTGTTGTTGTTGTTGTTGTTATTATTAATATTATTTTTAAATTTGAGTATTTACTCACCGATTCGTACGAAATGTGTTTTTTCGTGTTAAATTGAGTGTAAAAATTACGTTCTCTTTTGTTGTTATATTTACACGCACAAATAATAATAATAATGATGATGATGATAATAATAATAATAATACAACGCGACGGGTCGTTATAGATAAGAGTTGACCGCGAGTCAACCTCCTTCTTGGATAAGCTGGAAGCGTTTAGGGTCAATCCCCCAAAAAAAAAGAGGGGGGCGATTTTATAAAAGGAGTTTTTTTTTTTTTTTTTTTTTGTTTCTCCTTAGGTTCGGATGGTTCATACCTAAAAAATTTTCAAACAGCGCTTTGGACAGCATTCACTGGAAAGTTTTTCAAAATAAAGAATTGGCGCAAAAATACGGCGTCGACGAAACGATTTTGGAAACGGAAATTCGCGAATTTGCCATAGATCCGGAAACGAAAAATTATTTCTGTCCGTCTCCGATATGCGAAGATGGAGTTTTCGTTATGGAAAAATGTCAGAGCAGAAAAGGTCGTTCACCGTGTGCCATGTTATTCGCCGGACATTACGGTTTGTTTTGTTGCTTTTAATCTTGCATGGAAAATGTAACGAGAAAAGATGAGTGCGTGAGTGAGTGCGTGAGTGCGTGCATGGGTGCACATTATTAAATTAGATTTAATGAGAAAATTATCATCATTATTTTTCAGACGTGACGAAATTCGTCATAGAGGACATAAAATCATTGGATTTGTTCGTGAGCGTTATTTGGTTGGGACCGAATTTGAAAAATGTCACGAGTCGATTGATAGAAAATAGAAAAGATCAACCGGTGGTGATACTTTCGTGGACTCCGAGCATAATCACAGCTTCCGGTGAATTCGTTTCCGTCGTTTTTCCACCGTGTCAAAATGAAAAACCATTAACGCCCGGATGCAATTACGAATTACAGAGACTGGTCAAATCAACGTCGAGAACGTTGGCTCAAGGAGCCCGACAAGCGTGGGAAGTGAGTATTGAGTTCCGCCCTTGCACAATTTCGATGTTTATAATTAGATTTTTATTATTATTATTATTTTTTTTTTTTTTTCTTCTTCTCAGGCGGTGAACGACATGTACTTTAGTGATTCTCAATATCGTGGACTACTGAAAGATTACCTCGCGAATTTGAGTCTGTCTCATCAAGACATTGCTTGCAATTGGATGAAAACGCATCAGAGCACGTGGAAACATTGGACGCAAGTGAGAGACAACAACGAATTGAAAATCCTCGGGATATTCCCGTTCAGCGGATCTTCTTACAACGGAGCTGGAGTCGCGGATGCTGCGGAAATGGCGGTCGACGCCATTAATCGAAACACGTCCATTCTCAGAGATATAACTCTCGTTATACAAAAACACGACGGACAGTGTAACACGGATGTCGTCATGAATAAATTTATCGAGACTGTTTTAGAAAAGAACGAGTATCAAAAGCTCATCGGGATTTTAGGTTGGTATCCCTTTTGTTGGAACCTCATCGGATTGTAACGAAGGAGGCGATGTTTATGATGTCCAAACAAAAAATTTTCCTTTCAGGTCCGGCTTGTTCGGATACGGTCGAATCCCTCATCGGTGCCTGTAAATATTTTCGTACCGTCGCAATCAGTTACAGCGCGGAAGGTACAATTTTTTCAGACAGGTCGAAATATCCATATTTTTTTCGAACGATCGGAGAAAATCAGGAATACAAGTGAGTATGACTCTTCGAATTCCCGTGGGAATTTTTCAAAATCTAAAAGAAATAACGAATTTTTATTTTCTCTCTCTCTCTCGTCAACGCAGTCTAGTCTATTTGAATTTATTGAAACGATTAGGATGGAAGCGGATATCATCGATAACGGAAGACGGTCAAAAATACACGGAATACCTTCCACATTTGGTCAACTTGTTGAGTAATTATAATTTTACATTCGTGGCCAACAGCAAATTTCCAAGGATCAGAGTCAATCACACTATGAAATCCTATTTGGAAGATCTCAAATCTAAAAGTGCCAGGTTAGATGCTGCAAACTATTTCCGTTTCCTTTTTTTTTCGCGCGTTTTGAAAAGCGTTAGCGGGGGGGGGGGAAAGAAAAAACGTTATGGCGCGTTCGTTCGATAATTTAATAACGGTTAAGAAAATACGAATAGAAGATTGATTAATAAAAGGAAGCAAACAAACAAACGAACAAACACGTGATTGTTTGTAATACGCGTAAGGAATTATTTATTGTAATTGATAATTTATTAATTACATCCGGTCGTTGTGAAAAAGGAATTGTAGGAAAAGGTAATTTTTTTTTTTTTTTTTTTTTTTTTGTTTTGTACGCCGCGAAACGTTTTATACTATCTTAATGTGTGTTTGACCTTGAACTCGCGGCGGCGGCGGTGTTGGCGGCGGAGGTAGTTTTTGATAAATTCGTAGGCAGAAAAAAAAAAAAAACGGCGGTTTAACGTTTTCCATATTGAGTATTTTTTTTTTTTTTTTGTTTTCTTTAGAATAATTATCGCTGACGTGTACGACCCAGCCGCGAGATCGGTCATGTGCGCTGCTTATCAGCTTAAAATGACGGCTGTCGAAGGTTACGTTTGGTTTTTACCACAGTGGCTCAATCAAAATTGGTACAACACGGACGAAATAAATCCGACTCTTAACGTTAACGAAAGAGTCGAATGTTCGACGGCGCAAATGATTGAGGTAAAAATTATTTTTTGAAAATTTTTTTGTTTTGGAGTTTTTGGCGTTTTCATGTTGTTGTGATTGGCGATCGATTCCAGGCCATCAACGGTTATTTTTCCCTCGCTCATTCTTACTACGCTCCGGATGATGCCATAATGCAAGAAAACATAACGGTGGGAGAATGGAGAGAAAAATACGCAAACGAAACGGCTTTCCCGTCGGATTATGGCGGATTCGCATACGATGCCGTTTGGGTCTACGCTTTGGCCATTGATAAACTTTATCAAATGGATCCGTTTGCCGTTGCTCAACTTCATTCGGAGAAATACACGGAACAGTTTGTAGAAATAATTCAAAATACGGATTTCAACGGAGTTTCCGGTAGGATAAAATTCGTTTCGGGAGCTTCCCGAATGACGGTCATAGACATCGTTCAATGGGTTAACAACAAGACTCGAATCGTCGGATCCTTTCATCCGAATTCTTCGGGTTCCGTCACCGATCACAGGTTCGAATTGAACGTGTCCGCAATTGTTTGGCTCACTTTGGACGGTAAACAACCGGGGGACGGAGCGGAAACGTGCATATTGCAAGCTTTGGCGGATCTGATGAACGTCGATTGCAGCGTGGCCGTAGTCGTTGCCAACGTCATGGGCATAAGTTTATTTGGAATTTTAGTGATAATTGCTTTCATCATCATCAAGCACAGGTACGACAAAAAAATGCAAAAAATTCAAAAAACTCAAGAGCTCATGAAATCCCTCGGATTCGATCTCCTCGCTCCGAATTTGGATTCGGATAAATGGGAAATTCCGAGAGACAGATTGGTCATCAATCGTAAATTGGGTGAGGGAGCTTTCGGAACCGTGTACGGTGGAGAAGCTTATTTCAGCGACAAAGGTTGGGTCGCGGCTGCCGTCAAAGCTCTCAAAGTCAATTCAACGACGGAACAAAAATTAGACTTTTTAAGCGAAGCCGAAGTCATGAAAAAATTCGATCACAAAAACATAGTGAAATTGTTGGGAGTGTGCACGAAACAAGAGCCCGTGTACACCGTCATGGAATTCATGTTGTACGGAGATTTGAAAACTTTTCTTCTCGCACGTCGACACCTCGTCAATAATAAAAAAATTCACGAAGAATCAGATGAGATATCGAGTAAAAAATTGACTGCCATGGCTTTGGACGTTGCCAGAGGATTGAGTTATTTGGCACAGTTGAAATACGTTCACAGGTACGAAAGTTCTTTCGGTTTCTTTTTGGAGGAAAAACTCGAAAAGGGTTTAATGGAATTTTTGTTGTTTATCCTTTTCAGAGATATAGCGTGTAGGAATTGTTTGATCAACTACGCGAGGGTCGTCAAGATAGGAGATTTCGGTATGACGAGATCGATGTTCGAAAACGATTATTACAAGTTTACGAGAAAGGGAATGATGCCTGTGAGGTGGATGGCACCTGAGAGTTTGGCATTGGGAATATTCACTCCCAGTTCGGATGTTTGGTCGTTCGGAGTACTCCTGTACGAAATAATAACCTTCGGGAGTTTTCCATTTCAAGGTCTCAGCAACAATGAAGTCGTCAAGCACGTCAATAAAGGAAACACGATAACGATTCCGAGTGGGATAAAGCCACAGCTGTAAGTAAAAATAAAGATTTTCTATCTCTCTCTCTCTCTCTTTATCTCTTTTTTTTTGGGTTTTAAAAAAAATTTTTTTTTTTTTCTTTCTCTCTCTCTCTCTCTCATTCCCTTTAGCGAGTGCCTGATAAAATCGTGCTGGAATTTAGAGTATAAGAAAAGGCCTCAGGCATCGGAAATAGTCGAATTTCTCGCTAATAATCCCAGGTTAATATCTCCATGCTTGGACGTTCCCATATCGTCGGTAGAATTCGAAGACACGGGACAGTTGGAATTGAATTTACCAAAAAGTTTAAGAAAATTTTCTCTGACATTAAATGCGAAATACGAGGAAAGCGCGGGAGAGACGAGGAATCAATCTTTGTCCCAGGATTCGGAACCCTCACCGCCGCCGGCGGTACCGCCGACTTCGGTCTTGTCGGATTTCGACGAACCTTCCTCCGTGTTTTTCCCAAACGGATACGCGGCTCAAACGGGTACGTGTCCGTGGATGCCGCTATTGAATCCATCGTCGACGTCGGGTGGTAATCACGACGGTTCATCGAGATCGTCATCTATAACGGCGGGACTCGGAAAACTCGTGACGATTCACAAGAGCGAATCCTGCGACGAGTGTTTGTCGTCGCACGAACATCAAACGTCGGTTCTTTGACACTTTGATGGTCACCGGGGGTGACAGGAGAGAATAAGAACGAGAAACGAGAGGCAAATCGTTTCCGACACGGATCGAATAAAATCGACGTCTTACGAACCCTTCGTTTTTTTTCATAACCCGGAGAGAAATGAATCGGTGAAATTGATCAACGGGTCACGTGGACGACGTTGGAAAAAAAAATATTCAGGTTTAACAGTTGGAACCTGTTAAAGCCATAATTCGAAACCAAAGGAATCCACACAAAATATTAGCAATATTAATTAATATCCTCGTTTTTTCTTTTTTTCTTTCTAATTCTATTTGTCTATTTTTTTCTTTCTGTTTTTGTTTTTGTTTTATCGACTGTATGGAAAACAAACAAACAAAACAAAACTAAACAAGTTTCATAGATAGTCGTAAAAGAAAACATAGATTATGTTTTTATTTTCTTATTTTCTTTCGTGACTTTGATTACCATTTATAAAAGTTTTACGTGTAAATAATAATAATAATTTTTTAAAAATAATTAGTTAGAAAAGAAAAATAGAAAAAAGGAAAAAAAGAAGAAAAAAAATCGCTCAAATGTTATTTTTCCTCGTATTTATTTGTAACAAATATAAAAATATGTTTATGAAACAAACAAACAAACAAATATATATATATATATATATCGAAATAAAATGAAAAGAGAAAAACGTCAAGTGTCAAAAACATTTAAATAAATTTACTATCATCATTATTATTATTATTATTATTATTTTATTTCGTGCGTAATTCGACGTAGTTTTCACACTTGTCGGTGAGAAACGAAAAAAAAATTTTATTATTATTATTATTATTATTATTATATCCTCGCTCTTTTTTTTTTTATTACGTTAATAAATAAATAAATAAATGAAAAACAACAACAACCAAAATTATGTTTGTCGATGATAATGATGACGATGATGTTTTTGTTGTTGTTGTTGTTCTTTTAAATTTTAAGAAAAAAAAAATTATTATTTATTATTATTATTATTTTAATTATGATGTCTTCATCATCATCATCATCATCATCATCATTATTATTATCACCGTTATTACTTCCCCAATTATTATCATTATTATTATTATTATTATGACCGTTGCAGTCAGAAAAGAAACGAAAAAAAAAAAAAAAAAAAAAAAATTTGTGCGAAGTTTTTTTTTTTCTTTTAAAATGAAATTTAAATTTCAGTTCGTTAAAAAAAACTATCATTATCATTATTATTATTATTATTATTATTATTATCATTATTATTATCATTATTATCATCATTATTATCATCATCATTATAGTTTTGAAATTTCCGTAGAATTATTTTTTTTTTGAAGTTTTATTTTAATTTTTTTATTAATTAATTTTGGCGCGTTTTATTTTTGACATTAAAAAAAAAATTTAAAAAGAAAAATGGCGGGAAAATAAAAATTCAAAATTTAAAAAAAAAAACAAAAACAAAAACAAAAATCATCATTATCGATAGTTTTATCCCCGTAACAATTATTTAACAATAATAATAATAATGATAATAAATAAAACGAAGGGTTTTTTTTTTTTTTTTCGTTTGTTTGTTTGTTCATTCATTCATTTTTTATCGTACGAATTCGCGGGACGTTTTATTTTTTAATAAAAAAAAAAAAAAAGACATAAAATATTATTAAAAATAATAATAATAATAATAATAATAATAATAATAATAATAATAATAATAATAATAATCAGTGTCGTGAGATAAATAAAAAAAAAAAAAAAAACGACGACATATTGATTTTATTTTATATGTAAGAGAGAAGAGACTTTTATTATTATTATTATCATGTAATTAATTAATTAGTTTAAAATTAGTTAAAACAGAAAAAAAAAAAAAAAATTTGAAAGAATTTAATAAATAATAATAATAATAATAATAATAATAATCGTAGTCCCTTTTTTTTTGGGAGGGGGGGGTATTTATAAACATTTTTTTTTTACATAATTTTACATTAATAATAATAATAGTACTACTAATAATAATAATAATAAATAATTTTCTTAAAACTAAATGAAAAACAGGGAAAACAAAAAAAAATTTCGTATGAAGGTGGTAACACGTGAGAGGGAACGAGGAGGGGACGGGTAGGCGAGGCGAGGAGAGGGGAGGATTCCGTTAACACGACAAACAATGCAAGAGAAAAAAAAATTATTATTATTATTATTAATTTATTTATACGACAGGTACCAACTATTTTTTTTATTTTTAAAAAACAATTAAAATTTTACTACTATTATTATTATTATTATTATTTTGCAATATTATATCTCAGGTATGAAGCCACGTCAGATTATGTAGAAAAAACATAAAAAAGTATTTTTATTATTATTATTATTTATTTAATAAATGAATTTTTAAAAAAAAGGGAGAAAAAAAAATTTAAAAAAGTTTTCCCGGGTTTTTTTAATTTCCGTTTCCGGTTTGTCTTTTTATGTCTGTTTAACACTAATAAAAAAAAAATTACACTGCCGTTATATTGTATATGTAAATCCCCAACCGTTTTTTTTTTTTTTTTTAATTAAATGATAACAATTTGATAAAACAATACATACATAAATAAATAAATAAATTTATGTACATAAATTAAAACGCGAGTGTATAATAAATAAATTTTTAAATAGTATTTATTAAATATGAAAAAAAAATGTAAATAATATTGTCAAATAAAGTACCTGAATTCATTCATTCATTCATTCATTCAATTCATTCGTTCGTTCATTTTTCATAAATATTATTATTATTATTAATCATTTATTGTTCTTATCGTATGTTGATAAAAACAAATCGATTATGAATAATAATAATAATAATAATAATTTTTTAATATCGAAACCGAATGAAATATTTGAACAAATAAAAAAAAAAAATTCCAAACTTTTTTAAAAAATTTTTTTCCGTAATGATTGATTGATTGATTGATTGATCGTTTCTGTTTTTAATAGTTAATAAAAAAATGGGGTAGTTTTATTATTATTATTATTATTAATAAAAAAAATTTATATCGTTTTCCTCTTCATTATTTTTTCGGTTCGTATAATGTTTAAAGGTATTGTGCCATTATTATTATTACTATTATTTATTAATAATAAATAAATTATTAAATTGTATTTTTTATTTATAAAAATATTTTAATTAAAAATTGTTATTATTATTATTATTATTATTATTATTATTATTCTATAATTGAAAACATATCATTTATAAGGAGGAGAAAGAAAAATTTTGTTTAATAAATAATAATAATAATAATAAAATGTAAATTAATCGTTTTTAAATTAAATGACAAAATATTATTATTATTATTATTATTAATAATAAATATTTAACGGAAATATAAATAAATAAATAAATATATATATATATATATATATATATATATATATTGAAAATGTTTAAATTAATTATTTAAATGATTACTAATTTAATATAATAATAATAAATACGTTTTTTTTTATTATTAA